AAAAAACAGCTACAACAATCTAATACTTTGTTAACAGTTTGATGTTACAGAGCGTGTTTTCCCACCAGTCTTTGTGTATTTCTTTCTAAAATCAATATAATTCTAAATTTAACCTTGTACTAATAAATGAGTTTTCAAGTGTCAATGCAAAACGTCTCTCTTTCTACAGAAATCCTGAAAGTCCAATTTTGCCGCAGAAATACTATTATTTTTATTTTTGAAAGCGTTTAATTTTTGTCTCCTGTTAATTTCATTTGACAACCTGAACCATTTGTTGCATTTGTAACTGTTTGGTAATTAGTACAGTTAAAGTGATGTAGTTTTATTGTACTACTATTTTTTATTCAGGTGATAGGTATTGAACATGCTCTAAAACCATTTTTTTCAACTCATGCGTGCTCTTTCTAAGGATAAAAAGTGTATTCGTTTTGATACCATATTTTATTAGCACAATATCTAAACTGTATTACTGATACAGAAAATTCAAAAGGCATGAAAACTGTTAAAATATATTAATTTAATTTCAATTTGATAAATGAAGAATTTAATAAATTCTTATCTTGACTTTGTGATGATAATTCAGCTACATCAATATAAAGTTCATGTCTATATAAGATATGTATTATTACTATCATTCCTTCTTTCACAATTTTCATTTCATTAACTTAGTTTATTCACTGTCATATATTCTTTACATTTGTTTAACGACTTTGATAAGAACCGTCTTTCACAGATTTCATTTTCATAAACTTATTTTATACAGGGAATATTTATATTTGTTTAACGATTTTTAAAAGAACGTACATTACGTTGCTAAGAGATATTGCTACAATAAGAACATTGTCATTTCCTGCTATATATTTCATTACATACCGTTAAATATGTACACTATTAGTACCTCTTTTAAAATCAAAACCAGTTTTATAATACCAACAGCTGCGTTAATCCCAACATATATATTGAACAAAACTTATTCAATGATAGAAATTCATAAATCAATGTAAACTGAACTTATGTAATGATGAACATTCATAAATATGACAACTGAAATAGAGATGTTTTCATATAAGACCATGTTATTAACAAAGTATCGTTATGATGATTCTTAAAGTAATAGACGGTTCTTACCACACTCTATGCTATCATCAAAAAAATGAAGAAAAAAAATGATCCCACAGAGGCATAAAGGTTGACGAGTCCGTGAATATGTATTAATTAATCTAAAATGATAATATAAATTACTAGTATATAATGATAATCAATAATTGACTTATCTTACTGAATTGTCCATTATCGGGAGTAAATTCAGAAGGTTAACATTATTTGCATTCGAAAGCTTTTTATTTATCAGAAGAAAGCAAATAATGGATGATTCCTACCATTAACGATTTAAAAAATATAGTCACGCAAACTTCTTATACTAAAGCATATGTGCCTTTCCGGGGAAATATGTCATTCTAAGAAAATATTAAAATAATCTCAAAGCAGTACATGTATTTCACCAGGCTTGTATCATTTTTACTGGTTTTTCAACCGTCTTTCATCATTTTACAGGTATTTCAACAGTCCTTTACAAGTTTATAGGTATTTCAAGACTACTTTACAATTTTAAATGCATTTGGACAGTCCTTTGCAATAATACAGGTATTTTAACAGTCTTTCGCCATTTTTTCAGGCATTTCAACTGTCCTTCACAATTTTACAGATATTTCAAGTGGTTCATAATTTTACATGCATTTCAACAGTCCTTCATAATTGACAGGTACATGTTTTTCAACAGTCCGTCACAAAATTACAGGTATTTTAAGAGTCTTTCACAATTTTACAGGTATGTCAACAGCCGTTCACAAATTTACATGTATTTCATCAGTCCTTCACAATTTTACATGCATTTCAACAGTCCTTTACAATTTTACAGATATTTCAAGTGTTTCATAATTTTACATGCATTTCAACAGTCCTTCATAATTAACAGGTACATGTTTTTCAACAGTCCGTCACAAAATTACAGGTATTTTAACAGTCTTTCACAATTTTACAGGTATGTCAACAGTCCTTCACAATTTTACATGCATTTCAACAGTCCTTTACAATTTTACAGGTATTTCAACAATACACACATTTTCTGTATCATTCTTACGTTATCCTTTATTTCATTGAAAATGTCGGCGATAAAATCTATGTCTTAAATCATTATTTATTTGTATAATCGATATGTGTTATTTGTATAATCGATATGTGTTAAATCACAGATGGAAGCTGATCAGTATAAATAAGTTTGTTCCCTTTAGTTTATCTTAATCAAATCTCTTATGGCACATAAGGAATATTCCTCTTTGCGCAAAAAGAAAACCATACAAAACTAGTCATTTTATACAGGTGAACAGTAATAATTCTTAAACGTCCATTGATGACTTCAATCACCAGAAAGATAATTGAGATTTTTTACATTGTTCAATAACTAACTAAAGTGCAAGTGTTTTGTCTTTATTTTTTATCACTTGATATAAAAATGTGGCAACATGTTTGTGGGAATATACTATAACGTTGTGTTAATTTGTGTTGGACCTACATTATAACTTTCTTAGACACAACACCCTTTGGAAGATAAATATTTTGATTATTGTTAAAGAGGTAAAATATAGTGGAAATCTTTACATTGGGAGAAATAATTTTGATGTAGTAACTTAGGGGTAATTGTTTTATAGAGGACCGCTCTGCAGCGGCTATTTGTATATTTTCTTTTTTTCTCTCTTTCTTTTTACAGAGAAATTGCACTTTTGCAAAGAGTGAGATATGGGTTTGTTAAAGAAAATATGGTAAACAAAATCAACAACAAAAGGTTTGCGTTCAATGAACGCAACCCCCACACGACCATGCAACAAGGACCAGTGGTCAGGAGCATGGGAGGACCCCAAACAAAACCAGGATAGGGCACAAGGCAGAGCACGGACATGATAATAACAAAATAATACATGATAGGAAATAATAGTAACCGATAAGGAAATCAAATACAATTCATTGAATAATAGAATCAAATACAATGCATTGAATAAAAGACCGACAAAGTTAAAGGGCATAGGGAAGGGGAAGCCATACATCAACTCATTGAAGGGGGTCTTTTTCATCTTTGTTATAGATTTTATAGGACTCTTTTTACTTGAGCTAGTAACTGGAAAATGGCATGTCTCCTCTCTTTGATAGAATTTGTGAGAAGCTACATGTACATTTGATCTTCATCGAGGTCTACAACTATTATTTTAAGAAACAAATCAATCCAATTAGAATACAAGAAAAGGCATAATATTGACTTTAATGACAGAATAACGTGAGCAATGTTTTAAACAAGTCGTCAACAAAGATACCGCAAGACAAAAAAAACTTCACCATTATAAATGTCTGTGTTTGCGAGCTATAACTTTGTATAATAAAATACAATTACATTGTTTCTATATTCCAATTATAATGATAAATGGCTTGCCAACATTGTCATATCATTGAAAACTGTGGTTTTATTTTTCTTTCAGGTGTATCACAATAAATCTCAATTACATGGCAGCAAGAAATTAATAGATCTATAGTGAGATTTGTTATTGACTTGTTAGTGACCAAAAACAAGTATTTTATTTTTCTGACAACGCATTGTCCATTACCAGACCTTGCTTTGGGTTAATTATGAGTATGAACTACAAATACCCGTAAAGTGCTAATTGTTTTATCTATTAAAAGTAAGATGTAGCTAATGATACCATTTTGTTTGTTTATTATATAATAAGCTACTGTGATATTTTTAAAACTATTAATATTATCATTTGCTGTATCATGGTCGCCTCTTAGCAGAATTAAGGTATTCTTAAGTTTACCACAGTCTTCTTATAAGAATACAGAAAAATTCTACAAAGGTACCAAACATATGTTTGTCACCAAAGAATTATATTCAACACTTTTTTTATCTATAATTCATTATGCAATGAAAGCAGACGTATGTATATTGGAATAAGTATAATTAAATCGTTTTATATTAGGTACTTTCTGTAATAAGGTGTACAATAACTATATTTTGTTATCTAAAATTGCAAATATGTAACATAAAATTATTCGTAAGAAGTACGTCAAAGCCGATGTCTTCATTTTTACCCAGATCGTTTGTACTTAATGCTATGATTCGTGTCTACCCAATAAGAACAGTATAGTAAATGCTACTGGCCAAAGGACTGCAGCTGTTTTTTACAAATACTTCCTCAAAATAGAAGATTGTTTGGACATTATTTTTGTAACTGCCCATAAACAATTGTAGGGAAATCAAGATGAATATTTGGTGTTGGTCAGCCAACAGTATACAGCTTGTTTATACTGCAAAGATGTAGACTGACTGCAGCATGGATGCGTTGGTTGACTTGGCTGAGAAAGGGTAGTCTTTTTAGCAAAAGTAGGGGAATAATTAAAAGATATAGAGATGGGCTATATCAGGCTGTCAGCAATGGTTAGAATGTTTGTTTGCTATTTGATAAAATTCATACCAAAGAACATACATATAAATACAATGTGATATTACAAATTAAAAAAGAAGAAGAAAAGTAACATTTATACAACATCATAGCTAAACCTACACCAAATTGTTTGTTTCGTTCGGGAACATTAATTCTGTTTGTAAGACATGGGAACATATTTTACTACACAGTGACGGACGTATTCTGTATGGTTTTCCTTTCCACATCATTCGTGTAATATGGAAATCATAGTACCAGTGTACTGAGAGTCAACCGTAGCTAATGTAATGCCAATGTAATTCCTACCTCACACGTACCTCACACGTAAGTTGGTCAATAACTAGATTATATCTGCAAACAGTATTGTCACATATGAGATAATATTGCTGTTAAAGGCAATCGTAATTCAAATCATGACTGCGCTAGCAAAGATATTGAGCTTTAGCACCGTGAGTAACGAACTCGCCGATAATGTAACGTACGGAAATCCCCGATAATTCAAATGCAAGGAAAGGTTCGCAGAGATTCCGCAGAAAAATCGATATCATCACCCGTTTTCACAGGTAAAAATAATAGTGTCGCTTACATCAACAAATGGTCACAGTGTCAACGGAGACGTATGATTACAGTTGGAAAAAACCCAGGGCGGATGCATACGGTGTTTTATCGGGGGACATTAGCTTATGAAGTGGTCATAAATGGCGGTTATCTAGCTATGGAGCAGTAAAATGTGCAGTTACAACTGGCAATAACTTGACAATTTATTGTTCAAGATATGAACATATGTGTGGTTATATAAATACGAACATTTTGAATTGTGGGAATTGGAAGCAAATACTGGTTTTCAAAGGTAATATTTTATCAATTTATTTCCGTATTGCGCTTTAAACATTGTTTTCGAGCGCATGCTCTGTTATCGTATATTACTTAATGTATTTAATACAAGCTAAATGGTTAAGAAATCGCACCTTTATAAAAAAAACTTTGAGTTTTAAAGAGAATGATTCTAATTTTATTAAATTATAAAAGATCTGATCAATACGGGTGTGTGTCTGCATAAAAAAACATTTGACTTACAGTGAGGAAGTGCTCTCAAGATATTAAAGTTTATTAAATGTATGGGGGTTCGTATTTTATTAAAATTCGGACAAAAATAAAAATATTAAAGCCATTATGAGTATATTGAAATATTCTTTATATCATTTATTCGAAACTGGGTTATATGTGACTTACGGACTTTTGGTATCAGTTTGCACTAGCCTTTAACTAAGTTGAATTTTACTTCACGAGGGCGCTCTCATGGTCATACAAAACTGTTAATCGCAAACTTTTGTAACGTGCTACTTCACATGTTATGTTTACATGTTATTTTGACATACTACATGTATGTTCACATGCTTTGTTGACACACTATATTAACATGCTATGTTTACATGCTTTTATGGTATACTATATTTACATAATATGTTTACATGCATTGTTGACTTACCATGCTTACATGCTTTGTATATCTGGCTTTGATTACATGTTATTTTATGTACTGTAGTATATTTTATCTTTGCTTGCTACATTTTCATGTTATATTTTCATGTTATATTTTCATGTTATATTTTCATGTTATCTTTACATTATATGTTCGTACCCATATATTCAGGGAATATACATAAACACATACAATAGTATCACTTATATCAACTTGCATATATATAAAAACACATAAAGAATGCAAGAAAAATAATTCTAAGATTAATTAATTAATTAATTAGCCATTAAGCTAAAAGCTTATTCCCGATGGGGTTTATTTACTGTAAAATTACCACAACTTATATAATAATAAATGAATTATTAAGAAGTTAAAATAAATGACAATTTTTACAAAATTGTTCAACAATCAACACACATTTTCGATATAATTAGACAAGTACATTGTACACAAGCAAACTGAAATGAATTCCGTATAAACTAATACATTATCAAATACAACATAAACATGTTACAAAACCATATCATAAGGTTAAATAAGCATATAGTGCTTTTTACACGCTACATTTACATGATATCATATTATCATGATGTCATGTTAACATGATGTCATATCAACATAATGCCATGTCTGAATGATGCTATTTTACATACTAACTATATTAGCAGGGAGAGTGAACAAATTTCGATTGAATTATTCCTCATGTTTCATATCTAAATATTACACTGGTAATGTCCAAAGATATTTAACATTTTTGAGTGGAAAAAAACACAGCCATTTAAGCTTACGTGGAACCAAAAGTATAAATAACCTTAAAATGTAAACAGTATTTCTATCAAAACAGGAGACCTTTTAGATATCACGTGAGCTGTGTTCTATTTGACGTCATCCAGTTAAAGTGTAGAATGAAGGTTTTGCACGCACGCTATGAATAAATACTATTTTCAGAATCACATTAATAAAACAACCTTGGGCTTACGAACTGATTTAAGTTTTGATAACTTATTGTTATTCATGAATCGAAACGGCTGCAGAACAAACATTTATTGAATTGACAATAAGACTAGTTGCAGTCACTGACAAATATTTCCGTGTGCGGCTTGCACTTTTAATTATTGAGACAAAGCTCTGTATCATTAAACGTCTGACAAATAGTTTCCTCGTGCAATATTAAAAATAGTAAGCACTTATAAATTGTTGATAGGATTCCGCAAATCAAGGTCTCTTAAATGCTTATTGATTGTGGATAGATTGTACGGGAGATAAAAACAATAAAACTTCCACGAATTATTATTTAATTTCAGCATTTTCATTATCAAAATCACTTGCATTTACAATTGAACGCTCCAAATTACAGAAAGACTAGTCGATTTTACAAATTTAGGTTTAAGTTGATAGCACTGGGCATAATCAAACAGATCATCTCGGCTATTATCAATAATAACCTGGTCCGAAGACTGACGGAAAAGACGAAAAGATGCGATTGTAGACATTATGAATACTGTTTTTATGAAGAAAATTTCGACTGCATGAAATGGTATTACACTGAAAATGAAAATAAATTACAAGCGCACTAATTACTAGTTCTTTAAATACATGTATAAATAGAGGAACTATAGAATAGAAATAATACTCAGTCGTTCCATAAATCTGTAACACACTCTACGGAATCAAAAAAACGACAGATAAGCGTGCAATAAATGAAATATTGTATTCAATTGGCCAATTTCCTTGATCCGAAATAATGGAAACTGCACGTATAAATAGCAGGAAATCTATTTGAATAAACAGGAAATCAAGAGAACTTGCAGGTATAAATGAAAAGGATATTAGATAATTAAGAGAACTGCGGCGTTGAATTGAATAATATATAAAATTAATCAAGAAAAGTAAAATATGAAATGCAATCTGAAGTACGTCAGTGATAGAAATTCAAGAGTATTTTAGAACAAAATGAATAAAAAATATCATGGTCCTAATAATGATGATGTTAGTAAAGTTAAAAATGTTTTATCTTTAAATGGATTTTCAAAGAGATATAGTTAATTATAAATTAATGTGGATATTTATTGCAGTTTAATACTTTGATATCTGCGGAAACTAATTTGACATACATTATATATCATTTATTATGTATTTTTGACGTCACGGTTACCGTAGTAATTTTATCTTACTGTTAATGAAAATGTAACCGAATAATTATATAGACTGAAATATCGGATTCAATGAAATTCTATGTGCAATTGAATTACATGATGATCAATATAACATCTAGATGCATTGAACAGATGTCATAAATTTTTAATTGTATTTATCCCGAGAGTGCAAATTGCAGATTATTCGTCCTTGAACACTTTCGTACTCGCTCAATCAAGCATTATTAAATAAGCTGCAAGATATGCGCAGTAATTTGTAACAGCTTCCGTTAAAGTGACATTATGTCCATCCAAGTATAAATTGTTAATGAACAGGTATCAATAAATAACTTAATAATTTGCCATAATTGTGTTAAATTAAAAAAAAAACAGTAATAAATTAACCACGTGACCAACAATTTTTTTTATAGATATCATTCAGATCTATGTCGTTTACATTCAGTTCTTAAAATAGTGGGACAGTCTTTGTATAGTTTATGTAGCTTTTATTGTATCATAAACATGTTTCATTATAAATTATTGGCCACTCACTATTATAATAGCCAGCATTTTGAGTTATATTACTATTGACAGACAATAATTGAGCATAATGTCACTTTAATAAAACGTGAAAGTAAATATTCCATATATATTTCATTTAGTATCATATAGTAGTAGCTACTTTCTTATGAACAAATATGGGCAGTTAACATGAATCTTAATTTATACAATAAATTTGCCCAGTTTTGAATTTTTAACGGTTTATTCAAAGTCAAACGAATTTAAATATAAAAAAAAACAAAAACAAAAATAAAAAAAACACAATTTCAACAAGTGTTCCACACACAATGAATTCATGCTAAACAAGTCATTATCACATTTGTATTCCAAAGTAAAAATGCATGCTAATTTAAATTGATTGAAGTGTATTGATTTTGAATCGAATTGCTTTGAATTTTTTAATAAGAATTTTTTTCAGTAGGTTTATTTATTAAAAGACAATGGTTGGGGAGTGGCGTGTTGTGCAATTCTGGAAAGTCAAGAATCGCTAAAACTGCCAGAAGCATACAGCCCGCGGCGTAACATTGTTTTACCAGAAAATGCCATTCGAATTATATGTACATGTTGCAATAGAAATGAGATGATGCTGTTGTGTAAATAATAACCAATAGGTGTACTTACTTTTTGTATTTCTCAAGTTTTACTCCAGTTATTTATTGTTCACCCCTTGCCTGATTTTCAAGTATCGTCTTTTTTCAATTTCATTTCTCAGTTATTTTAGTTTTTTGCCTATGTTTTAAGCTTTCGCCTATGCTTTAAGTTTTCGCCTATGTTTCAAGTTTTCGCCTATGTTTTAAGTTTTCGCATATGTTTAAAGTTTTTGCCTATGTTTTTAAGTTTTCGCCTATGTTTTTCAAAGTACATTTTTTATCACAACATTCCATAGAATTTTAATTCTGCTGACCAAGCTTTACTTGAAATTGTAGCTGTAGAAAAAATTATAGATTTTGGTTTTTAATTATGTAGAGCCAGCTTTATCCGGAGTTTACTAGCTTTGTTTATACAAAAATCCAAAATTAAAACAAGTCTAATGATTACATACGGACTGAATTTCATAGAAAAAATAACCTTCAAAACAATAACTCTGTAATTATTTTCTGGAAAATGACTATTAAATGACTTCCTTCACGCTAATTGTTTTGTCTGTTTTTTTCATTCACTTGTAGAAATCGTGTCAGGGTAACAGGGGTCTCTATAATGATAATAAACACTTTATTTAACGAAGGTAGCTTATTAAGACAATACATCAAAGCATTAGAGACAACACATATAATGCAAAATCTATTTTTTAACAAGGCCTTTAATAAAATAAACATAAACACAACATTCAGTAAATCTTAATCAACAAAGAAGACAGACATAATATTAAAGTATAGTATAGGTATATTTTCTACAATTCATCTTTAGATAATATTTGATGTTTAAAATGTACAAAGAGAAATTTTGAATCTGATTTAGAATGCTCCTTTGTAAGGGAAATACTTGAACATACTGCATTTGTAGGAGATACTATTTCATATATATCGCACACACATGTAAGCACATACTTAAGTGAATCCTTCAAGCAATAAGTTTCAAATAAATTGTCATAGTATTTGTTTTGTAAAGGCACTTAAGATGTGTCTATATAGGGAGCTATTAATATTTAAGGTCATATCAGTCATTATGCGATTAGTGCAGCATTTAATTATACTTAAAGGCACACTATGCCTCATAAACGAACACATTTCTACTTCTTTAGAAAGGGCAAACGTGAGTTCTTCAACACTTAAATAATGGTTTTAGAGCATGTTAGATGCTTATTACCTGAAGAAAGTAGCGGTAAATGAGAAATTATTTATCATAAAAGTAGCAAAATTTTAACAAAATACTAAATCGCTGTTACTAGACTTTTAGCTAAAGAGCAACAGAAGAAAAGGTAAGGTCAGGTAATTGGCCAGTCAGTATCGTTTTGGAATTTATAAAAGTTCACCAGAAATAAAAACCTTTATACAATTAAAAATAAAAACATTTCTAGGGCATGTCGGCCTTTAAATATTAGGTGATTAAGTATGAAAATAAGTGTATCACCCGCTGTTGACCATAGTTATTAATTATTGACAGTTTTTTTTAACACTTTTGATAATTGAATGGATATCGACTGGCATCATTCACGTACCTTGATATTTCTGATTAAGTTAGATAAAATCATTTCCCATTAGGTTCGTAGATATTGACATTACCGTACCTGATGCATTCATCTGAAAGCGATCATGCGTCTTCCGTGTCACCCAGGCGCATTATATGGAAAATTAAATGCGGGATTATACGAAACAAGAAGTATCTTTAAGAAAAGATACTCGGCCGAAGTAAAACTGCTTAACTTGATTATGTAAATTCGTAGTGTTCCGTGCAAAGACAAATATAAATGTTAGCATACCTTCAATAACAAGGGCATAACAATTTTTGTAGGGTTATTAATCTTGGAACACTTTAAGATGTAAGTGTTTCTAAACAAGCCTGTCCTGTTTCTGTAAGTGAACTAAATTTCTAACATTCTGGTATTATTCTCGTTATTTTGGACAACTTTTAAAACTCAGACCTTGTGTTAAATAAACTCAGAAAGTTGTTACGTAAAATAAACCGTTCACTAGAAAATGTAATAAGGTCTGAATGCAAGAAGTATTGTTAAACAGAACTTAAATATCTGAGCAATCTAACTAGAAAGTTAAAGAACTATCCTGTACATTTTATTTAGAACTAGTCTTTACATTTTATTTTATAATGGCAAAAACAATTTTAGTTTAGAACTGTCTTAGAAAGACAAGAACTATCCTTTACATTTTATTTAAATGGCCAATGAGATTTCTAGATTTCATTTTGTAATTTCAAAATGACCAATGGAAACTCTTCTTATATTCAGTTGTTCCTTGTAAATTTGTCAGGAAGTCAAACTGAAAACAACCTGCCTTCGGCCGAAAAAAAAATTCTTAAAAAGTTTTATTAGTCTAGCTTATGTTTTTTAAGATTTGAAATTAATTTTTATCATCAATATTCAACGAAGTGTGAAAAATAAGTTTTCCTCTACCAAACATTTTCACAGTATTTATTGAAATTGATACTGAAGTAAATGAATATTGAAAGTCTATTATTATATATAGATTTAATCTTTTCGTTTGGAATAATACTTATGGCTTTTCATGAGCTGTTATTTTTATGAAAAGAGTTCTGGGAAATTTTATCAATTAAAAGAGCGTCTGGCGTAAAGAACAGTTTTAGCCCGGGCTCGAAGTTTTAAAAACTTTTTTAAATTAGTTCATTTTCAAATCTCAGGATTTTCATTGGTCGATGTACTTTCTTAACATCTTTCTGTCCTACCAAATACTGTAGATCTATAGGTTTGAGCATAGAAAATATCTTCATACATATAACCTTTGACCCTGCACGAGTTTCGTAGGAATGTATATCTCTAATGAAACGAATGTCTGCTAAGTTTATCACCCGTGTGTTATAATTATAAAGAAATAGTTATTTGTATTACATAGAAACAAAGGATTTTAAGTGATTAAATATCTCTTAAGATTTTTTGACATGTTATATAGTTATAACTGTCTACGCTCGGTCATATAACATTTATATAACCGCATATCGGCTTTCTTCGTTTAAAAATGAGAATATGTTATACTCGTATGTATATAAGCAACATAGCCATCGCGATTATCCAATACAATTTGACGTTACAAACGGAGAAGTATACATCTTGATAATAATAATAATACACGTCAAGTTTCATTGGATGATACAGACGTTGATATAATATTTATGTTATTCACATTGCTACTGTAAATTTGCGAACAATTTTTCATTTTTCCCCACATAAAGAAATCGTGCTTTAATGCTGTATTATGATACAATGTAGAAATATACAAAAAATAATAAAAAATAACAACAAACAAATCAATACAATACAGAACTATGGGATATTTTATTCATACAAATCAATGCATCACATATACTGACAAAACTCCATTAATCAATTATATATTTATATCTGCTCAATGAATTACTTCTGCAAATGAATAATGAAGCAAACAAAGGTTGAGCGGAGAACAAATTATAACTTCGCTTTTAATCGAGTTTTGTTTGACAAAATATTTACTTAGTAATAATATAATATAAAATATAACCTTTAATACTTGGTCATAAAATCTGTCAAAGTATTTATGACTAAACATATAACTTACGTTTCTATTCCAAGCAAATAAAAAAGTTAAGTCTTAATTTGATACATGACTAAAATATCTCTGCAAATTCTTCTGATGTTCGTTTTTCAATACATGTATACAGATATGTCTTGAAACTTTGATAAGACTAAGGACAATTAATGAAGTATTATAGTAAATGTTCTTCGCCTTTGAAAATTTTAATTTTTAACTGAAGTTTGCATATAGATATCGTCTTTGCTTTCCTTCATTTTCTTTTATCCATTTAACCCAAACAGATTGAAAAATGAATTAAATGGCTTTCACTTTTATTCAATCTCTTTCTTGCATAAGTCAAATTGAATTAGAAATCTTAGCATTTCATCATTTATCAAATGACTTTAAACATGACACACAAATAAGCATGCTTACATGTGGGGAAGCTATCCAGCTAGTTTACTGTGCACAAAATGGCCAACCGAGGTATTTTGCAGAAAAGTTGAAAAATTACTTTTACATTGGTGGTGGTATTACTTAAAAACAACTGTTTTAGTTTTTGGACGATACTCCCATTGTATTAAAAACATAATTGTGTGATCTTGCATTAGATATTATTTCTTAATATAGAATCTACTTGTTACAATGTCTAGGGAAGCGTTTTAAAATGAGTCTGTTGTTGCTAAAAAAAGAAAAGGAAAACAAAAAACACGCTCAAAACCCGAAAAAAACTACCTCAGGATTGGCCCTTTTATATACAACATGTAATACTTTTCTAATGCATATCTTAAATTAAAAAAAAACTAATATAAGCAGTAACTTTCAAAGAACGTATTCATAATTCATATTCTAAATGAATGCTAAGTTTAAACGACGAGTGGACGTCTATAAGTGTTATAAAACCTCGTAACGGTGTTATATAGTTTCTATGCTTCAAACAACTTTTTATCTATCAATAACCTGTGTATTTTATTCAAGAAAAGTGTGAGAACAGTATAATATATGTTCTCGAGGAAAATGATGTTTTAGAAACCATATACAGATATACGGTTTCTGAAAACAGGAAAATGACCTCTATTATATGAAATAATGTAACATCCTAGACTTAGTGAAGAAGATCAATAATATAATCCAGGGATATCAGTATAATCCCTCTTTATTTTGTTACCATAACGACGATTCTTATTTCAATAAAGCCTGTAAAACACTTTCTGATAATTCCAATATTTACCTGTAAAAATACGTGGGGAGAAGCCTCGATGGACGGAAATTGAAGAAAACAATGTCGTCTGCAAAATGTGGATCATGGACAAGAACAATGTCACCTGAAATTTGGCACCTTTATTGCTAAAAAGTCTGGTTTAGTTGTTCACCTTGTTACTGATTTTTTATTAGATAATTATTTATAAGAATATCTTATTGAATATCTTATTGAATATCTTAAGATTATTGGAACTTTTTGATACATCTCTTTTTTATTTTAAAAATTCAGTCTTGCTATCTTTATGAAGGCGTCCTTTGGTTCTGAAGTTGACAGTAAAGTGAAGAGAGAAATTATTGATTCCCATTTGTTCACAATAAACATACAATGAACTGATTAGTGACATAACATTGTGCTGACATCGAATAAGGCTAATAAAAGTGCTACAGTAAAAAATGATTGTTTGCGCAAAGTGAATATAGTGGTGTACCAAACCGCCGCCCTTTAATTGATTTATTTATTTTGGGAATTGAGGTGATGACAACTCATGCATTCCATTCCTGATTCCTGATAATAATGCAATTACATGTATATGGTCATAAATAAAAGCACTTGTATCTTATAGTTCTAATTTTTGTTCATAGTATTTTGGTATCGTGTATTTAACTTTGCTGTTTTTGTTATGATGGTATGGGGGCTTTGAATTAGCTAAGATGTAGTTACTTAAATAAGTGGATGGGTCTACAACATCCACATTGTCCATAAGTATCTAAAATAACGACAAAATAATAGAAATGTGTCATTTAGATATTCTTATAAAATACCTCATGAACAAAAATACTGATAGAGTTCTAAGTGTTTTAGTATGAACATTTATATGATGAATAACAATGTTTTGTTCTAGAACATTTGATGATCTGCTGTAAATATCGAATCATATATCTCACACTTATCAACAACATCCATAAATATTTATTTCCTGGTTTCATGATGCTAAATACTATAAACATAATTATCACTATTATATAACTTCCATTATGGACCAGTTAATTTTGAATTGAGAAACCAACCGTCCAGAGACTGACTTTTTCACCAGTCGAATTAAAGAGAGGTCAGTTTGAAACTCGAAATTTGGTTTTAACGTGTAACATATCTTCAAGTTCTGTCAAAATTCTAATTGTTTTCTGTTTTTAATTGCAGATGATCGAGAATGTCCAGTGCGAAGAGATGCGAACCATTTTCTGGTCCAACTAATGGTCCCTTTTACAGCCGCTACACTGAACATAAAGTTGTCTTCAACTTCCATGCCCCAACACCACCGTCACCACATAGACCTTTGTCGGCAGATAACCCGTCTTCTTCTTCTCCTTTGACATTGAAAAATAATGACACTCAAAGTTTACGACAAGCTACAAAAGAATTAGGCAGTCCCTCATCTCATAGAAAACTTTGTGAGCAAAGAAGTTACTCTGCTGGTGAATCACCACTCGATTTTTCATACCCTGTGTCACGTGACAATTCCTCTGACGGACTATTTTCGTCATACTCTAACAGTCCTACAGAGTTCCGTGCAATATCTCCAAAACCATTACTTTACGACAGTCCGCTATCAGTTTTTCGTAGCGGTTCAATAGATAGTAGTTACATATCGTCACCAAGAAGTGGTAGTTCTGTGGACTCGGCAAAAGATCGGAGATTTGCATTCTCTGAGAAAAACTCTGTAATAAATAATCAAAAACCAAAGTCCAAGTTTGCAAACGTTATCAATAAACACTCGGTATCAATTTTTGCAGCTGCTGCTTTCAAAGGTGCGCATGAAAAACTGCGGACAAAGAAACTGACAGTTTCTTGTCCAGAGTTAGTGCAAGAAAGAAAATCCTCAGCACCTCCAGTAAAAGTTAACAACAGTGTCTCCGCTCTGGATAGCCTAGCTAAGAAAGAGTCTGATCAGCAATCAAAAAGCAAAAATCTTAAAGTTCCAGATATTTTTACCACATCTTTTACACATTCATTATCAACCGAGACAAAACCTACTTTACAAAAATCGTCTCTAAGTTTACAAGAGTACCCATCATCCTTGAAAAGCGGCGAGAAAACCCATTTTCAGCGTGCACTTTCGCTTACAAAAACAAATCAAGACGATTTAAAAATAAGAAGTCTGATATCACCAAATATGTACCGTGACGACCAGATTTCTCAGGTTACAGAGTATATGTTTGTAGGCAGTATAGAAGCTGCGTATAATGAGAGAAGACTTTGTCGTTTAGATATTGAGTCCTTGGTGGACATAAGCAATCTGAATGAAATGCAGGTCCCACCACAGAAGAAACTTGTCTGTCCTTGCCTGTGTCAGATTGAGTTTAAACATTTTCGCTCTAGGTTGATCATTGCTGTGCCTGACGAAGAGAACGACGGTATTGATCAGTATTTTGAGGAAGTGAATAAATTCATTGAAGGAGCTAGGCGGTGCTCTAAAAAGGTCCTTATATACAGCTACGAAGGGAAGTCGAGAGCGGCTCTATTTGCTGTTCAATATCTGATGTCATATGAGGGGCTGTTATTACGTCAGGCTTACAACATGGTTAAAAAACAAAGACCTCAAGTGTCGTTAAACCCTTCGTTTCAGAAAGCGCTAGAGAGACTTGAAAAGACGTTGTTTCCGGATGAGAAACATTCAGTAAATATTTGCAATGAGTATTTGAACGTGGCTGACCCCCAGGCTATCAAATGCGCCTGGATAGATTGCTAGTATATAAAACATGGCAATCAGTTGACTGATTTTGTTGCCTTCATTGTACATGAAGAACGATCAATTTTGGTGAATTATATTTAGTAATGCTTAATGAGGATGGATATAAAATTGAGGATACAATGGCGGTCAAGGGACGACAAAAATGTGTTTTAATGTTAAAGATAGTATCTTAATGACACTTTTGTAAGAAGTTCCAAGGTGCTTCACTTAAGTGCAATCTATTTACGTGTTTATGTTTTTTCTATAAATAGACACTTCTGAGTTTCTTCATTACGTTGTGTGTGAAACTCTCACACGGACAATAAAGAGTGAACATGTATGTTAGTGAAAAAGACTTGAAACGATGCTAAATGAAGAATCAATCTGTACAGTATAATAAAGTGCATTGAAAAGCAAAAAACATTCAATCATGTTGAACTTTTAATCAATTTTGTATGATAATCAGATTGTTTTCTCTAAATTGCTGTTGAGAATTCTGTGTTCATTAACATGGATTACAAATAAAAGACACTAACTGATGTTTTTTTCCAACTTGTGATAATGTTATTTATATAAGTATACTTAAAAGCAGTCAAGCTTGATCAAATTGTCCTTTGCATTTTACATTATATTTGAACAGGAAAACGAGGTTAATGGCTTGAACAAAGAAAAAGGTTTTATTTTTAGATTATTACACTAAAGGAACTCCACGGAGGTCCAAAGACCAAAAAAGATAAGCCTAAGATAATTCAGAAATGAATTCAAAACCGTATTTTTGTGACATTATTTTCCTGATATTAGTGAAAAGCATTGCCTTTTTGTGTCATTTATCACAGTTAGAATAATTATTCTGGAAAAAACGAATTGAGCGAATGATTTGAAATTTTGCACACAAATTATTGGTCTACCTACATCAAATTGAACGTTTATCTTGGAAAATTATTTCCAGTCCCGGCATGACAAAAACTTCAGTGGAGTCCCTTTACTGACTTTGTCCATCTTTAAATTGCTTTAAGTCTTACATCTTAAGTCAATGTAGCCCTCTTTTGTCGGCTCAGTAAGTCTAAGTGTAAATCTGAAAGAGTAAGTGCTGCGTTGCTTTTTACTGTTTCGTTGTTATGTTGTCTTTAGAATAAGAAGATTAATTACACTTGTCAGGTGGCGATGTAAAACATTGTAGCATCCATTAAAATGCCATAAAATATGTGATACCTACAATGCAATATTAAAGGAACTCCACTCAGGTCTAAAGGCATAAAAACACAAAATTTTTAAATGTTACAAATATCAACTGAAACACTAAAAATGGAGAGGAAAAAATTTGCATAGGATAACAAAGATATATATACTCAGAATTAAACTGAAAATCAATCTTATATGCGATTATTAGCCGATTTTAGAGAAAAGTGTTGCAACACTTTCATTTTTTGGGCTATTTTTCACAATAAAATCATTATTCTGGAAATATAGGATGAGGGAATAAGCTTAAAATTTGCTAAAATTTGCCCACAAGTTATTGCATAAGACCTAAATCAACTGGAATATAAAACTCAAAAAAATATTTTCAGCCCCGTCATGTCAAAAAACCTGTCATGTCAAATCCCTTTAAATAATAAATTGCGGTCGTATTTTGACCCGAATATATAATGTTAACACAGCGTTCAGTAGAAAGTAGAGAAATTAGCAACTAATTCATACCAGATCTGACTTTGTACAAATTAGAACATACTTTTATCGAAAAAGATGACACTATTTATCGGGAAAAATCTGTTACATAAAACTGTTTTTCGCTGCTATTATCTTTATATTGTCACGTCACATGATACATGTAAGTTCTGTCATTACTTTAAAGATTAATTATGCTCAAATTTGATGCTTGAACATATTGATAATTGCTACACAGTCTCTTTGTAAATATACAAATCAACATGTTTTGACTTCAATTAAATTACATATGCTATGTTTTAAACTCTATACGCTATAGGTGGTCAGAATTTGAGTATATAGTGTAATTAAAAAAAAAACTGGCAGCTTTTTAAGAAACGATCAACGTTACTTGATCCGTAATAGTGAATGCAGCTTCTCGTACATATATAGTTTGTACATTCTTTTATTCCAATTAAACATAAGAATTTCATGGATTTCAATACATTTCTGCGACAAAAATATTTTACCCAAATATGAGCAAAGTATATATTTAATTGATCAGAGGAATAATCTAAAATAAGTGCATCCACACTAAATCATTTTGCATTATTCCGATCCATTTCGTTCTAATCCTTTCCGTTCCGTTCAAAAATGCTGTTTCACGCGGGTTCTTTTTTTATAAAGCAAGAAGTAAATACTAGCTTTGTAATCAAAAGTACCTTTTCATTCTATGAATATTGTTACAGCAAATGTGTTTTATTTTCGACTGCTGTTAATTTATAACTATCTTCACAATGCTCAAATAGATATATATATTTATCTATAATGTACCTTAAAATAGCTGATATTACTTTTTTATTGTTTTAATATTGAAGATTTTATGCATCGTATCTGGAACGTCAGCTTACTGGTAATTAAAGGCCCATTATGCCAAGAAATGCTTTTATTTCTATTTTACTAAAGCTATTTATTTTTGGTGTCCTGATATATTTTCCCAAATATTACTCATTGGCCAATTTAATTAAGCCTTCTTCCGCTTCTTTTGCTTTTTGGTACCTAGTACAGTCATAGTGATTTAGTACTTTCTGTGGAAGTCAAAATATTACTTTATTTACATTTTGATTCTTTTATTAAAAATAATACCACATTTATCGCTGTTTTGCCCTTGCGATAAGCATAAAATATACTTTCAAACAAGTATTCAAACATCATAAACAATGTTTGCAATTCCATGGAAGCAAAAAAAAAATCGTTTCTGAGACATGATGTGCCTTTAAATAAAGGTAATTGATAAACTATAGTATATCTTATGAGTGCGACAATACAAAATAAATTCTAGATGATATTTCAAATCGATATTTAAAACATCATCTCGTCAGTTTATTCAGTCTTGAATTACATTTTCAAGTCATTGTGTAAATAAAAAATCACATTGAATGATATCTTAATGCCAATAGAGAAATGCGCAAATACTATGGCAACACGGTGAATACTATGAAAACAAGTCATTGTGTAAATATAGTTTGCATGCGATGAGATTAGATTCCTAATGCGATGACATAATCCGGTAAGATACTGTTTGAATGCGATGAGACATGATTTGAATGCGGTGAGAGATACATTTAGTTTGAATGCGGTAAAATATATACTGTTTGAATGCGATGAAATATAGTTTAAATGAGGTATGAGATATGGTAAGAACGCGGTGTCATATTCTGAATGCAGTGAGATATGGTCAGAATGCGGTAAGATATAGTTTGAATGCGGTGAGATACCCTCATGTACAGCCTCAATCAAACCGAGTCTGCAATTTTCATGTACTTTTGTTGTGATTAATGCTTCCAGATTTTTATACAGTAAAATGCAGTGAAATATGGTTTGCATGCGATGAGATGAAAGTCCTAATGCGGTGACATAACAATGGATCCTAATACGGTAATATATGTATATTGTTTGAATGCGATGAAACATGATTTGAATGCGGCCAAATAGGATAAGAACGCGGTGCGACATGGTCAGAATGCGGTAAGAAGTAGTTTGAATGCGATGAGATATGTTAAAACCGCGGTGTTATATTCTGAATGCAGTGAGATATAGTCAGAATGCGGTAAGATAAAGTTTCAATGCGGTGAGATATTGTCCAATTGCGGAAAGATATAGTTTGAATGCGGTGAGATATGGTCAGAATGTAGTAAGATATAGTTTGAATGCGATGTTATATTCTGAATGCGGTCAGATAGGTTAGAATGCGGTAAGATGTATTCAGAATGTGGTAAGATATAGTTTGAATGTGGTGAGATATGGTCAGAATGCGGTAAGATATAGTTTGAATGCGGTAAGATATAGTCAGAATGCGGTAAGATATAGTCAGAATGCGGTGTTATATCCCGAATGCGGTGAGATATGGTCAGAATGCGATAAGATATAGTTTAAATGCAGCGAGATATAGCCTGAATATATTTATGATATATGTTAGGAATGCGGAAATGGCTTCTGTTGATCAAGCTCTCGACTGCTTGTTGATTTTCTCTGTATCACAGAGATGACATGTATTGATGGCCTGAGATCAATACATTATCAATTATAGTTAATGTTCAAATATCTCTATAGCAACATGATAATGGGAGATTGGTTTTTTTTCGTCTAATGTAGTCTATATATTTTTATTTCACAATTAATGGAAATAATAACTTTTCCCATTCTTTGTGTTGGTTTATTTTGTACTATTACATTGTAACAATCGGAACATCTCGGCTATTATTCATAATTATTATTTTTCCGAAGTTTGATGAAATTGCCGAGAAGCTGCGATTGAGAATGTTATAACGAAAATGTTATCTTGATTTCATACAGATATATGAAAGGTGACACAATTTTAGATTAAGGTTTTTCTGAATATTTACCCGTGCACTTTTGAAATAATTTTTACATTTTTAGATGTTTTATGTAAGACTGCAATTAATTTACAAACGTCTTTACAATGCTCAAATATATATTTATCTATCTAATAGTTAACCTAAAAATAGTTGATATTAATTTTTTATAATCAAGACTTTATGCGTTGTATCTGGAACATAAACATGCAATCAATGTTCTATTTAAAATACAGTACCTAAAATACAGTCTTATAGTTCTTTGACGTGAACATTTATTTACGAAAGCCTAATAGTGTCAAATAAAATAAAAAAAATAAAAATGCAAAGGCGTTATAACGCGAATAAAGGCGTAATAACGCGAAAAAAGGCGTTATAACGCGAATCAAAAGGCGTAGTAACGCCTTTATTCGCGTTATAACGCGAATCAAAAGGCGTAATAACGCGAATCAAAAGGCGTAATAACGCGAATAAAGGCGTTATAACGCGAATCAAAAGGCGTAGTAACGCCTTTATTCGCGTTATCAAAATGCGTACTAATGCGAAAAAAGGCGTAATAACGCGAATCAAAAGGCGTTATAACGCGAATCAAAAGGCGTTATAACGCGAATCAAAAGGCGTAGTAACGCCTTTATTCGCGTCGGTATAACGCAAATCAAAAGGCGTAATAACGCGAATAAAGGCGTTATAACGCGAATAAAAGGCGTAATTACACGAATAAAGGCGTAATAACGCGAATCAAAAGGCGTAATAACGCGAATAAAGGCGTAATAACGCAAATCAAAAGGCGTAGTAACGCGAATAAAGGCGTAGTAACGCGAACCAAAAGGACGTAATAACGCAAATTAAAACGCATTATAATGCCAATTTAATACCGTATTTATACTAATCAAATTGCCTAGTAACCCGAGAAAGGAAGACCAATATTGATCTGAATTTATTGCTCAAGATATAAACTCGTATAGAATAATACAATATACATATACAATAACTATCATTCCATTTGCACAGTAATAATG